TCCGAGTATAGTACTACCCCCCAACTTTATGGATGATTTTATGAATTTAATTTTATGTATTATACTTGAATGAATACGGTAACACATTTTAAAGCCTCAAATTGAAAGTAAAGTAATTAAAAAAATTATTTAACTATTTGAACATGCAACTAGGGCTGCAACTAATGATTCTATTAATAATCGAATCATATGTTGATTATTTTTTCGATTAATCAATGAATCAAAGGGCTACAACAGGTAAGATGTTATTTGCTCATAACTTTGACCCACTTACTGTATATAAGAAGACGTGTCTCTGTGTGTTACCTGCGCCACAGCCTCTGTCTTGCGGAGTTTCTCCTCCCAGGTGACGGTCATCTCTTGGATGAGTTTCTCAGACTCTTCCAGTCGGTCCTTCAGCTCTGGAGCTTTCATAGACTGAGACAAATAGCTTCTGTCAGGCATTTAGCTTCATCACCACATGATCAACAAACTGAGCCAAATAAAAATAAATCCTCACCTCCGCCTCGGTGAGCTGCTCCTTCAGTTTCTCCACCTCCTCCCGCAGCTCCCGGATGATCCTGGCATTGGGGTCTTCATTCACCACGGCATGGTTGACGATGTTCTTGGCCCTGTCAGCGTAACGCAGAGTGGAGAGCGTCTCATCGTAGTTGTCTGCCGCCGGGCTGATGGTGGCGACCATGGCTGTCCGACTGTTCCCTCCAAGGCTGTCCTGCAGGGTCAAGCCCAAAACTCAGAGAGGACATGTGAAGAACATCATGAACAAACATTTCAAATTAAGTCAAAGCTAGGTTTAAATAACCGCAGAGTGAAAAGAAGAGTAAAAATGGTGAAGAGGAAAGTTTGAAAAATGAAGCTACGAGCCAAATTCCAATGAGTTTCGGACGTTGTGTAAAACATAAATCAAAACAGAATACAATAATTTGCAAATCCTTTCCAGTCAATTGAATACACCACAAAGACAAGATATTTAATATTCAAACAGATAAACTTTATTTTTTATTTGGAAATTATCACTCATATTGAATTTGATGCCTGCAACACATTCCAAAAAAGCTGGGACAGAGTCATGTTCTGCGTTGCATCACCTTTCCTTTTAACAACACTCAGTATGTGTTTGAAACAGAGGACACTTGTTGAAACTTTGCAGGTGGAATTCTTTCCATTTTTGTTTAATGAACTACTTCAGTTGCTCAACAGTCCGGGGTCTCCGTTGTGTACTTCATAATGCTCCACACATTTTCAATGGGAGATGGGTGTGGACTGCAGACAGGCCAGTCTAGTACCTGCACTCTTTTACCACAAAGCCTTGCTGTTGGAACACGTGCAGAATGTGGCTTTGCATTGTTTTGCTGAAATAAGCAAAATGACAAAAGACAAAACAAAACAAAAAAAAGTTTAAAGTGTATCTGACMCCCCTGTGAAAAGATAACTCCACCCCATGGTGAAATTTGAAAAATGCATCAAAGTGGGTAGGGGAGGGGGCGCGGGTGGGGAAGGGGGGTTAGAGAGCGGAGGTGTGGCCAGGACGAGAGAATGTGACGGCAGCTAGCATTAGCATAATTGATGCTACATGGA